TTAATCTTACATACTATGAAATTCTCACCATTTCAAATGTCAGAAAGTTCCTCCTTTTGTAAATCTTATGAATGGTTCAACCTTCTCGATGGTGCGAAAGAAGAAGTGATGATTCTCTGAGGAGGAGCTTTTATATAAGTCAAGTAAGAAACAAACTCAACCAATCTGACGAAGACAGTCTGAATTTTAAAAACCTATCGTTTAATCGTAAGGTAGCAGCCAACCACAAAAGCTCTTTTCTTTTCAGGCCTTCGAGTTGCTGAGCTGAGGGACCTCAAATGGTTAAAACAAATGTCCTCCAGACCTCATTTGCTTGAAACTGTCTGCACCAAGACCTCTTCTGTACAGCATGCTTCATGCTCTAAAAGCGGTGAGCCTTAATTTTAACCACACAGTGTAGGAAGTGTTGTGGATTGAAGAAAAGAGACTTTTTGCTTATCTTCAAAGCAGAATCCTTTAATGAGAACTGCTGTGTTCAACATCAAATCAATCTAAATTTAATCTAGTGCAGCTTTACACTCAATTTAAATACATTTTTAGGGGGCAGAGATACACAGAGGTGGAGACACATCCAAACAAAAACATGCAAATAAAGTACAGGAGTCAGCCAGGTAAACTGCATTTCCCCAGCCCTATTTCATCAACAGAATAGTACCGATTCAGATGCAAAAGTGTTAATCCAATCGGTCATTTGGGACTCTGCCCACTGGTCAGGAAGTGGATAGAGACAATAGGTTAAATGTCCAAATAGTATCTGGATGCAGACTCCAACACTTGGCCTGCTAAAAACCAAAGTATCTAAGTTTTCAGTTTATGTAAGTTGTATATATATTATTGTTAATTTGTTATATAAATTTATTACATACATTTTTATTTCCACAGAGATTACGCACGTGCGAGGCAGGGAAGTTGATTTTATGGTCATGCGCAATAAGACACTAAACAAAACAATGCACAAAATGAAATGGATGCATTACATAATAAAAAAAGCCAGTGCATCTTGAGCTCAATTCAAATTACTGTCTGCAGTTGGCAAACCAGTTTCTGTTGCATCTTAAGGCTGTTATAGGAAGCACTTTGCAAGAGATTTCCTTGTGTTCATGCTGCAACTTATGGCATGCTATATTTAGTCTTTCGCTTTGTGAAGCTAGTCACCTTTTTTGTACCCCCCCCCCCTCCCCCCATAGATAGTCTGCTAACTATAAGTCCAATTACAAATTCATATCTGCTTCCTCTCATCTCCGTAGAGTCCGTAGATTGTCTTTAAAAAGTTCTTAGGCAATCAATACAACATGTAAACATCTGTTAAAATTTTGGTCAGTTTAATGCTAACAGTTTAACCTGTAGATGTTAGATGCTGTTGAAAGACATTTGTTGCGAGCCAATATCACAGAAAAGAAGACAACTGGTGTTTTTGCTTCTTGTTCATGCGTCAAATTCTTGCACCAGTGTCAGTACTAACTGTCTGTTGAACATGTAATAAGTAGTTTGCTGTCCATGTTGTCTTTTATGTTGGATCAAAACAGTTGTCATTCAACAGCAGTTCCTAGATTTTCACTTCATTGTGATGGCCTAATCTGACAACAGATGAGCAGCAGATGAATCTACCTAACTGTCTGATTTACCCCTTGTGTGCTGTAGAGATAATTTCATTTACTTTGGGGTGATTTTCAGTCCTAATGTGGCCACAAGTGTCTCTGTGTTTCAGTAAACAGAATGATTTTTGGTGACAAACCCTGTTTTGACAGATATTTTGGGAAAATGTTTTGAATTTTTTCAAGAATTCAACAATACACTCTGGAAAAAATTGACTACGCTTTCATATGTTCATGGCTGATGTAGTGACATTTTGATTGCAAAGCCATGGCGCCTTATAATCATGCATTCTTGATTGTTGCTGGTTTTTCCTGTTAGGAGGAGGTAAAACTTTTTTTTTTTTTTTTACTGGTAATCATCAGTTTACCTCATCCCAACAGGGAAAACCACCAACAATCAAAGTTTTGATTATGACCAAAAGGACAAGATCTCAGATATAAGCGGTCAAAATGAGTTGCTTTGTCACCCAGGAGGAGCTCTTTTAGGCTAATATAACGTAACTCAATGTGTACAAATAAAAGAAAAGATAAAAGCAAATTAATAAATAAAATAACATTTGTTGAGTAAAACTAAATATTTTCTAAATTAAGAAAATGTATTTTCTCAATAATATAAATGGTGTCTTTAGTCAAGAAACTATAGCAGATGTATTTAAATTTTAGAAGGGAATTTCAGTCATGTGAGGAAAATCATATTTTAGAAGTCCTTGACCAGACTGAAAACCAGCAACGCTACATGTGGTATTTTTGGACAATGGTGCCCTCTAGTTAGCAATGTGAAGTTTTGCAAGAAAAAAACTGCTAAGTTGAGAAAGTTTTCTTAGAATGACAAAATCCTAGCTTCAGCAGCACTATACAGACTAAATTTCGTCGTCACGAGATATATTATACAGTTATCTGTCTCACAGTTATCTTACAGATAGGTTGGTGTGGCCAGGTTTAATGTTGTAAAATCATAATTGGCTACTGGTAAATAGAGGATTTTTTTTCAAGATGATTTATTTCACAATTAACTTAGCTTATTTCAACATATTCAGATGTTTATTCGCGTTTATTTGCGCTAGGCCTATATAGTTCACATGTACTTTTCTCACGCTTGCTTGCGGTTTACATTCTGTTGCTTTCAGCCTTTACAGGTACACTGAGCAAGTTTCGACACATTATTCATGATATTTAGAGTACAACGAATGTCAGGAAATTTACCCGGAAACAGCAGCTCTTTAATCAAACATCAGATCGGTAACACTTACTTTCACCAGTGCTTTGATCAAGTATCAATTACTTTTCAGCACGAGAGTCTTGAGAGGTTATAATGTCCTCGCAGTTATAATTGATATGCTAAACTTAGGTGCTCTTCGTGTTACTTTCATGTTAACTGAAAATATTTTCAGGATGTAGCCTATCTATACTCGCTCATAGGTGTTAAAACGCGGGCAGCTTCATCACAAAGAAAATCGCCATGCAGGACAGTTGAATTAGTGAAACATAGGCTACTAAATTAAAGGAACTAAAAATTGTTAACAAAAGTAGTATAAAATACACTGGATGTTTTTACAATACAGATGTAAAGATAATTTAGGTAAAAGCAGAATTAAATTCACTAAGAACATGAAACTTGGTTAAGACTGCTGAAAAAATAGCATATGCTGCTATGGTATGTTTTGATGCTGGTGGTCTTGCTTGTTTCAATGCTGGTTTTGCTGGTCTCAATGCTGGTTTTGCTGGTCTCAATATTGGTCTTGTTGGTCTCAATGGTCTGGAGCAGCACTAAGACCAGCAAAAACAAGATTTAGACCAGCACTGAAACCAGCAAAACCAGCATTGAGACCAGCAAGACCAGCATCAAAACATCTTACATATGCTGTTTTTTCAGCAGGGAAGTTCATGCAAAATCAGACAAATTTTTCAGAAATTATTTTTTGTCTGTGTTTTTGCAGATACAAGTTGTTTTAGCTCACATGGGGCAAAGAAGTGAAGCTGGCCTGCGATGGTAGTGTACTTCAGAAACAAGTTAATCAAATCTGAGGTGCTCTAAGATACAAAGCAAATTATAGCCTAATAATAGCCTAATAAAAACATTATTTTTTTTCATTGATTTGTATTGTCAAGCGACTAGCCAGTGTTTTATTCGAAGCTTAAAAAGAAACATAAAAAGGGTCTTTAGTAAAATGCTTTGTTTGACTTGTATTTAACCTCCAACAAATTAGACAGCTGAACTGAGAAAGTTATAATTTAAGAGTGTTTTAACAACACAATTACTACAGCATATGTAAGGCTGATGTAGCTCAAGGGAAAACAGAGGAAACAACCACAGTGTCCTAAACATCTTTAAAAAATTAAATAAAACCTTAAACATTAGACCAAATGTGTGAGGAATAAAGCCATATCTTTTCATCATTTAAAGTGGATTTGTGGATTCTGTACATGTGAACTTGGACCACAAAACCAAAAAGTCTTTTGTTGCATAGGTATATTGTTTGTAATAGCCAATATACATGGTATAGGTCAAACATTTACATTTTTTATGCCAAAAAAATCAGAATATTATACAGAACATGTCCTATGAAGATGTTTTGCATTGCTAAGCTTGTAATCTTGACAACTGTAAAGGTGATTTTCTCAGTATTTAGATTTTTCGAATCCTTAGATTCCAGATATTTAATTAAATAGTTGTATCTCTGCCAAGCATTGTCTTATAATCCATACGGAAACTATATATATTCAGCTTCCAGATGATGTATAAATCTATAATAATAATAATAATAATAATAATAATAATAATAAAATAAATAAATTACACTTGTCACTGATTTTGTGGTCCAGGGTTACAAATGTAAAGTCTCCTGTGAAATTCTTATCGAATAACAATGACGTAACAGCTCTGAAAATCACAAACACCAACTTGCAGACTGTTCATTATTACCAATGAATGTTTATTTAAAACTGATTTTTAAAAAAATAGAAAATCTGATTTATTGTACATTAATATTCCATATTGACAAGATTCTCTTGCTCATATACTGTACAACAGCAACTCAAAGTTTTTGTGACATAAGTTATGAAACGTTGCCTTCAGTAAAATCTGTTTGCTCTGGAACAAAAAACAGATTAATGAAACCAAAGATTCCCATTAAAATTAATTATATATCATATTTAACTATAGATACATACACCAGAGCCAGCAGTTGATTCCAGAAGAACTGGCCAAAGTAAAGCTGTTTTTGTGGTTTCATAAGTGCTGAAAAACTACAGATGCACTGGAGTTCGCCATACATGTTGTACAACAACATTATAGCCTCTTTAAAATGCATTCAGTGACACAACAACAGTAATATTTGTACATTTCTGGTTTTGGTCCTATGAAATGACTATGTTAGAAATATTTGCTGTATCAATACTGGTAATGTATCACATTGGCAGAAAGACCTCTCAGTCAATCAGAATCAAGAACCAGAATGAACTGTTGGATGAAACTTAGGGTAGTGAATGAACCGGACTATATTGATCATAGTGAAAAGCCTTGATGTTGTGAGGCATTGAGTCTGACCGGGCTGCATGGAACTGGATGGTGATTACCCAGTGATGAATAGATTTCATTCTGCACATAGGTAGGGGTGTCAGATTGGACAGGAGACCGGTGATGCGCTCTTCCTGGATGAAGATAAAAATGACGACTTGTAATTCTGAAACTTTTGTTTTTGAAGATTGCATCATCCTGCTACATTTAAATAGACATAAATTCATCAGTAACACTTTACTTGAAGCGGTGTTCATTTGACTGTCATATGAAACCCTTATAATCATGAAATGACACATAATGAATGTAAATGAGATTTTATGCATGCTTATGACAGCTATTATTAAGTGTCATTTACTCAATTATGTCATTTTAAATGCATAGATGACGTTTATTATGCTAACTTGACATTGTCATGAACTGAGTGAATGACACTAAATGACAGCTGTTATAAGCATGAATAAAATCTCATTTACATTCATAACGTGTCAATGTCATGATTATAAATGTTTAATGGCAGTCCTATGAACACCACTTTAAGAAAAGTGTTACCATTACGAAATATGATATACACTATATTTTTGCTTTTGATAATATTTAATATTCTTACATAATATTCTTTTTTAAATAAAACTTCTTTGATTCTCAGTGATTTGACACACACACACACACATTAAATATTGAAGAATTATTGTTATACTCACTGTAACGCTCACAGGTGACTGTAAGAATGAGTACGGCAAGAATCAGTAATGCAGAGGTCGCCACAGCTATCCATACATCTACTGTATTAAGAACAGTTATTGAGCAGAATTAACTATCACAATTATTGCATTCCAAACATGCTATTCTCTAAAAATGCTGGGGAGTTTTTATTTCTCAAAATAAATATATATTGCCAAATTTAACCTTGTTTTTAGGTTTGTCCATAATATAGCCAATTTGTATGTAAAAAAATTTTTTTTTAGATGTGTGTGGGATTTCGTGCTATTATGAGATTGAATATCAATTACAAACATAAAATAGGTGATACCTTGGTCTTTGTTACAGTAATTAGGAAGCACATGAAGAGTTGTTGGTTGGCTTAAGGTTGAGTGGTTCACCCAACACGAGTAGTTTTCACAGTCAGATGTATTCAGATATGAATGGAGAGTGAAGGATCCATCTGGGTTGGTTTTGTTAATGTTCAGTGTCTGAGAAATGTTCTGAAATTCTCCATTTCTCATCCACACCTGTTTTATAGCTGAAGGATAAAACTCTTCAGAGCTGCAAAGGATTGTAAATCCATCCAATGCTCTTGTTTGTGATACAGACACAGTGGGGCGAGCTGTAAGAAATTGAAGCGTTAATAGTTTTAACAGCATATACATGTTAATTCATTGTATAATATCTACCATCACATATCAATTTACTTCTAGTCATAATTAACTTACCAATCACTTGAACAAATGTTCTGTCGTCTCGCAAAACAACTGAAGGAGGTGGAATGGTTCTGGTCTGAACACATTTATAAGTGCCAGTATCATTTATCTGCAGATATGATACCTCAAATGAGATGCCATTAAGGATCCAAATTAATCTAACAATATACTTACAAGATTGACTAATCAATGAATTGTTCATAATCTTTACCGAGCACAATATATAATTGCTATAATTGTTTTCTAGTTTCACATCGAAACTGACAGTTTCATCTGATGGTTTGTATCTACAGCTAATATTGACTGATGCTCCTCGATGAACAGTTTGAACTGATGTGTTGGTTAAAGATGTATGTCCAGCTACAACAGCTGAAAAAAGCAGGCAGTTCATATTAAAGAAGTAAATATCTTTATTGCCGAATCACAGTATGAAGATTAAACTGCATAATCATTACCAGAAAACAAAGACAGGAGCATCCACTTGCATGCAGTCACAAAGATACTCACTGATAACATCTATTGAGAACAGAAAGATATAGCGATAGTTTATTTTTGCCTGTTCTGCATTAATGGCTATAGCTAACTAGTGACAAATAGCCATTGACTATTGATCTGAATTCAAATCAAAGATTATCAAAATGAAAAGTTAGATGACATAAAATGGATGAAACTATGGAAAAAATAAGAAAACAGCGGCAAGCTGAGAGTCAGTCAGAACTTATTTTACATTTCCGATAACAAACGATCAACCAACCAGCATCAAGTATTCAAGAATATAAAAGTCTCTCTGCAAAGTGCTCCATATCAAGATTTTAAAAATCACACATTTGTACATTACTGAATGATTATGATTCACAAGTTTGAGCAAAACAGGTTTCACATTTGACTGTCAGAGAACTTCAAGCTATTTACTAGCAGCATAAAAACATTTTCGCATTTACATTTTAAGCTTACATAATATGAAATCTCACCATTTCAAATGCCAGAAAGTGCCTCCTCGTTTGTATTTCTCATGAACTGATGGTTCAACCTCACAGTGGTGTGAAAGAAGAAGTGATGATTCTCTGAGGAGGAGCTTTCATTTAACTTAAGTGAGAAACAAGCTCAACCCATCTGACGAAGGCAGTCTGAAACTTAAAAACCTATCATTTAATTGTAAGTTTTTTCCAGATGCTCCCAAGAGAAATGACTATTCTTTCAGAGAGCAGCCAATCACAAACACTCTTTTCTTTTCAGGCCTTCACTATGTTGCTGAACTGGGGAACTTTAAATAGTTAAAACCAATGTCCTCAAGACCTCATTTGCTTGAAGCTGTCTGCACCAAGACCTCTTTTGTACAGCATGCGCTTTGTGCTCTGAAGAAGCGGTGAGATCTAATTTAAACCACACAGTGTAGGAGGTTATGAACACGTGCAAGGCAGGGAAGTTGATTTATAGGTCATGTACCACAAGACATACAATACAAAAAGAGATACAAAATGAAAAGAATGAATTATATAATGACCAAAGAGCCAGTGCATTGACCTTGTGCCCAAACCAAGTTACTGTCTGCAGTTGGCAAATGAGTTTCTGTTGCATCTTAAGGCTGTTGTAGGAAGCTCTTAGAAAGTGATTTCCTTGTGTTTATGTTAAAAGGCATGCTATATTTGACCTTTCACTTTGTGCTAGTCACCCTTTTTGTCACAACTGTAATCATATACAAGTTACTTACTCCAAACTATTTTCAAACATTTACAAACCCCAAATCAGAAAATGTTTGGACAGTATGGAAAACGCTAATAAAAAGAAAGTAATGAATTGAAGAAGGTAAAGAAATGGATGCTGTGTGTTCCGGATCAAAAAGGAAAAGCATCATCCACACTGCAAGCAGCAACAAGTCCAAAAGCCAGGGTCTGTCATGGTATGGGGTTATGTTATAAATGATTTCAGATTTTGAAGCACAATATGCTGCCTTCTTTCATGGGGCACCAAGGCATGTTTCAACAAGACAATGCAAAACCACATTCTGCACACACATCACAAAGTCCTGGCTGTGGAGGAAGATGATACAGGTATTTGTTTGGTCTGTCTTCAGTCCCGACCTGTCTCCAATAGAGAATGTTTGGTGCATTTTAAAGTGCAAAATGCAACAAAGACCCCGTACTGTTGCACACCTTAAGACTTGTTTGCAGGAAGCATAGGACAAAAATTAAACCTGAAACACGTCATTACTTGGTGTCAGTCCCTAAACACCACAGTCACAAGTCACAGCTGAATGAACCAAACATTTTAAAACAATAGGATTTTTTAATGAATTTCAGTTGTTTTATGATATTCATTTATTAATTTTCTTTTCGGCTTAGTCGATTAATAATCTGGGGTCACCACAGTGGAATGAACTGCCAACTTATCCAGCATATGTTTTATGCAGTGGTTGCCCTTCCAGCCATATCCCAACACTGGGAAACACCCATACACACTCTTTCACACACATACACTACGGACAATTAAGCTTATTAAGTTCATCTATAGCATATGCCATGGGCTGTGGGAGAAACCGGAGCACTCAGAGGAAACCCACGCGAACACAGGGACAACATGCAAACTCCACATAGAAATGCCAACTAACCCAGCCGGGGCTCGAATCCGCGAGGTTATTGCTGTGTGACGATCATGCTACCCACTGCTTCATCGTGATGCCCTGTTTTATAAAATATTTGATCGAACAAAAAGTAACTTGTTTAATTCTGTATGGAAATTGTATTTATAACAGATAAATTTAGTGAATAATTCAATGACCCCTTTGTCTTATAGCTTTTCATTTTTGGTAATTAATGACGCAAGTAAATGATTCAAGGATTCTCTTTTTTGGTTGTAGTATGATTCAGGGTTTCTCACAGAAATCAGCTAAATGTGTTATTCAAAGAATTGTTTAAAAACCATTGGTTGCTCTCTCACATATTGAAAGATCTGCTAAATCTGCTTTATAAACAGGGACCAGTGTCCTCTGAAAGTCAAATCTGAAGTCCAAAACTATTAGGATGGTGAAAAAGCTACAGTTCTATCATTGCAAAATGCATCCCTTTAACATTCATTGTCAAGAAGGGTGGACTCTGATAGGGCTGCATGGCATTGGATGATGGTTACCCAGTGTTGAATACAACATCTCAGTCTGTAGGTGATCATGAAGCACAGGTTCAGATGTGACACTCACTGCTACTGGAGACACAGATGACTTACAAGCTCTTCCTAGAAGAACATGAGAGTATATATTTAGTCACTGCATTTTATGATAAAAGTATTTTTCAAAACACTAATACTTGGCCCTTCATTCAGTATAAGCCTATGCAACATCACAGAGTTTAATTTAATCAAGAGTTGTGTTTATTTTATGACAGAGATCTTGTATGATCTAATGTAACGTCTAAAGTGCCAAAGACTTTTAAGTGGGAATCAGGTGACTGGGGTATATGCACAGACTTTTAATTTTTAGTCAGTCAGCCCAAACACATCCGGTGAACTGTCACTCCGTTACAAAATCACCAAGTTTATTATCTGATTTCTTTAAAAATCTGTGATCTTCACTTCGATAGATATACAATATACAGAGGGTTTTTCGACCAGACAAGAAGTGCATTAAATTCCATTTTATCACACCATATATTTAAAATACGAATATTTAATTTACCCCAGTATTTCCTACGCTAGCCTGATGCTACTGGCGGATGCTGTAGAGCAGGGGTGCTCAATCCTGTTCCTGGAGATCTACCTTCCTGCAGATTTCAGTTGCTACCCATATCAAACACACCTGAACCAAATAATTAGGACCTAAACACCACTTGATAATTACAGGCAGGTGTGTTTGATATGGGTAACAACTGAAATCTGCAGGAAGGTAGATCTCCAGGAACAGGATTGAGCATCCCTGCTGTAGAGCATTTACATCAAGGGTGCCCAAACATTTTTCTATAAAGGGCCAAAAATCTAACTTGATTGAGGGCTGTGGGCTGAATGTACTGTATACCAAACCATATATATTATTTTTGCCATGGGTAATTTGCTAATTTATTCTGTTGTATTTAAAAATAACTAGAAAATGTTGCTTTAAATAATGCAGTATAATTTTTAACATTTTATAATGAACTTATTACAGTAAAAACATAAACAATCCCATTTATAACACAACAGAGTTCAATGCTGAATTTGCTCGGAGATGTCTCGTGCAATGTCCTTCATCTATCAAGTGACAGTATTTACATTTTAAAAGTCTAATTCATTTACAGTATTTAATTACATAATTTAACGTTCGAGGTTACAGAAGTAACCCTTCGTTTCCCGAGGAGGGGAACGGAAGTGCTATAGGTGGATTACATGTAGAAAATCCACGTATGGGAGGTTTCGGTTCAGAAGCCGCTTGTCTGAAAGAGTATTGAACGGGCCAATGAAAGCAATGAATTGGCAGCGTAAGCTTGCGCTATCAAACGCCATCCTTTTAAGCTGAAGAGACTTTTTAAACAGCTAAGTGACAGTCATTATGGCGATGGAATATAGCACTTCCGTTCCCCTCCTCGGGGAATGAAGGGTCACTTCGGTAACCTCGAACGTTCTCCTTCGGTTGGGGAACTCCAGTGCTATAGGTGGATTTGATGTAGAAAATCCACATATGGGAGACTACAGAAAACGCCATAATGACTGCACCTTACCAATGCCTCCGATGAGAGGGCAGTCAAGCAAGCATGAAGCACCCAAATCATGGAAGGCGCGGTCCTCCAACGTGCCCTCGGCCCTAACTTATCCCCACTTCAAAAGAAGTTTTACGGAATAGGTATATTTTTTGGGAGTCGCTAGAGTCTAGATAATTCTAGGAAATATGACAGTACGTTGGGAAGCGTGCAATCCCGGTAGGGAGGATGATGCGGAGACCAGCCGCACCCAATGAGGGAGACAAAATGGTAATTACATATGGACTAGCCCTAAGAATGGGGGAGTACGCATAAGAAGGTGGTTAGCGGATAGGGAAGGCACGGGTCCACCCAAAAGGGGGGACTGAACCATAGCGGAAAAAGCATATGGGATCGCCAGAGGGGATCGCACATAGCCGGCACCTATACCCAAAAACGCGGGATGACCAGTGGGCAGACCTGGCGTAGAGGGCAAGCAAGAGACTCCTCCGC